GTTTGCTGATGTGTTTGGAGGTTCTGACAGTTCTCCTGAGGTAAGAATACGTTATTTATTTTTCCATTTTTTTTTTTTCTCATATCTTTTTTTTTTTTTTTTTAACCTTACTTTCCTTGCTTAAGGTGCTTGTCTGTTATAAAAATCCAAAATGTTATTCAAGATACAGTAAATTGACTTATTTTCATGAGAGGTGGGGTTTCTGGTTCATATGTGAGAATTACTCCCATTTTAAAGAAGAACTTGTTGACTTAAAAAAAAAAAAACTACAATGAGATGCTATGTTCATGTCATCTGCTTTGATTTTTAGAATAATGTCCATCTTTCCCTGATTTACATTCTACCGTTTATTTCACTTTTTTTTCTTCTTTCTAAACATTATTTTTATATATTTTCCTCATTTCAAAATCTGGGGTTGCTTTTTAGCTGGTAATAAAACTATAAGATTTCAATAAAATATGTATTTTTTTTATGCTTAGCTTTGCAACATAAAATATCCATTTGTCCTTTCTATCTAAATATATATAAAAAAAATAAAAATAAAAAAAGTAAAACGGCATCTCATAAGTTAAACATGTACAAAACATTATCTGTTTACCAAAATCCCAACTGTCGATGCATGTTGACCTCATGACACCATTGTCATTTGTTTGCATTCTCCCCCAATAAATTAGTGAATGGTAACATTAACATCAATTTCATTCTCCCCAAAGCCAAAAGTGGCATACTTTTAATGTGTTGTTGTTGTTATTTTTGTCGTTATGTGTAACAGCAAAAAGCTTTTTCAACTTGACTCTTCAACCTCTTTTAATTCAACAAATATGTCTCCCTTGTGTGTCTGTGTTTGTTATGTGACGTCAGTTGTCTCTGAATGTTTATGTCTCACAGACTTTGGCTTTTTGTCACAAAATGATAATATTGTTGATGGTCACTGATGATAATTCTAGGTCTGTGCAGTTGTCTGTGATTTATTCTAATAATAGTCAGATTGCAACAGAACCTCTCAGGAACCTCCTTGCCACTTGGCTTCAGCACCTCTCCAGAATTTCTGCAGTGGGATCATCTGGATCCTCACACAGTCCTCTTTGTTCATTCTGCTCTGGTCTCTGATCAGTTGCACTAAGCTCAGTGGCATGTTTACTTTCTGAATACACATTTTCAAACACAAACATATCTGTGCTCACCTTTGCACACATCATGTTTTGCACTTTATGTGACATTAGAGGGATTTCATTAATGTTTTAACTCTCATTCATTGATTTGAAAATATCACATCGAGCTCTGTATTTCTTGATGTAGCCGCTCATGTCTTGCCAGTAGACACATTTTCTGAAACGGTTTTCTTCTACACCTACAGTAAATGACATAACAGTAATCATCTAGTCAGTCCTCATGGTATCATGGATGATGATGTGCTCACCTTGTAAAATATGGTGGATCGTATTCTGTAGTAATCGACAATTAGACCTTGTTTCATTTGCATTTTTATTTACTCTTTTGGACATTATTGAGTCATGGTTTTATTGAGAAGTTAGTGTTTTGTCCTTTTTTCTAGTTGTCTTTCTATAATTTATTCTGTCTCCTGAATTTAGTAAGAGTTCCACCATATTTGTCTCTAATTCAGTTAACACGGTGGATAGGTTGTGGTCAGAGTTGCTGATTGTAACAAATATATCCTCTGCAAATGCTTAATGTGTCATAATTCCGTGTCCACATCATCAAACCTTCTAGCCTTTTGGGGTTGCTCCATTTTTGTTTTAACCATATGGTTTTATTGACTTATTATTGTTATGAACAGTTACTTTACAGCCATTCATATAATCAATATTTTCATGCTAAAATGATTGGATGCCATAATAAGTGGATTACCACACTGTTTTTATCATTACAAAGCTGGCAAAATTAATTATTTTATTTGCATAGTGCTGCACCCAAACATGTGTCTAAAGAGTCACTCTGACATGTCAGCCCTTCAACAGGTTCATACTATTTCAATACTGGAGCATGAACTATTTAATTTGTCAGAGTGAGGAATTCCTTCTTGTCTTCTGTCAAATTCCATTCAGTGACTTTTTTGTGTCAGGTGTTCAGCATCTTGCACTTGTCTAACAGTTGAGAGCAAATCTAGGTTAAATGATTCACTTATTCAGATACGTCTCTGATTTAACATATGTCTGTGTGGCCATCTGCTGGATGGCAACACATTTTGATGGATCTGGTTTGTCATTCTGCAGTTAGATGGACTGTCATGTATGTAGTCTGCTTGTGACTTAGTCTGATCTTTTATATGACGTTGACAATGTGTTTTCTTATTTTTAAATATGTTAAACATGCATCTGTGAACATTTTAATGCCACTCAATATTTTTACGAGTAACCATCATGAAAAGGTCATTATTATTCAAAATCTAAATCTTGAACATTATATATATTGTTGAGGCACACTAGTGGGAAAAAGAAAAACAAGCAAAAACAAATCAAATGTAAATTGACATTCTCTGATTTGAATATCCATATTTGAGCTTTACATATTGTCTTTTAACTAACAGGGAATTCTCATTTTGTGCTAAGGACTTTTTTATACTATATGACATTGGGATTAATTGACAAATTACCATGTTACAAATATTTTATGACACTCATGATTTACTATATTGGTTAAAAAAAGCATTAAAGATTTGATGAACGTTTACTAAAATTACATGAATCAAGTTTTGTTTAAAGAAGAGCAATATTAATAATAGCTTGGCAGTTGTTGTATTTAATTTCTACTGAAGATGTCAGTATAGACCAGGGCAACAAGAACCAGTGAACTTGGACTGCAAATCCTCCATTACTGGGATCGGTCAGTGTTTGTTCTCT